GGAGTCCCCTCCCTATCCTTTAGTTCTCTCTCTCTCTCTTTTTTTCTTTTGTGGCTTTTCTACTCCTGTCATTGCAGATAACAGCACATTTATTTTCACACACCGAGCCATATGGATGTAGGCATCAGAAGAGTAAACAGCCTCCTGCACCTCCCTCCTGGGTTGACAGCTGTTAAAGTGGGCTGTGAATCCTCCTCACACGGCTCTGCACTGCAAGCTGCTGCTAACATGCCTTGGCCCGGCTTCTGTTAACATACCCAGCCTACCTGTTGGTTGCACCATGCAGTGCTACCTCTTTTATATCAGTGCAGCCCAACACTGTGTCCGATTTGATTCGCGTTCGCTGTCACCCTTTCTCAGTTTTGTTCTGTTGCTTCGCTTTGACTGGGCATCCTCTGTCCCTGCCATCCTCAACTCTGCCTGGACCTATCACTCCTTTCATGCGTTAAGCTCCCTTTATGGATGCTGCCTCTTGACATACCTGATTGTCCGATTCATACAGTGTTCAGCTTTATTACTTTTAGGCTATCTGTTTGGCCTTTATTCTGCAATTGCTTTATGTTTTATTTATCCTCTTTCCTAGAATTTAATGCTGTCTTTCATATATCTATATTTACCCTTGTATTAATCTGAGGACAAAGATGAAATGTAAAGCTCATTCACTAAACTCTTCATTATATTAAATCTCTTTCTATAAGGTCGTTCACCACTACTGATATTTGTTAATGCTTTGCACTTGGTATTTTCAGTAATACTGCTTTTTCTTGGTAAGGATTTTTGATCATAGAAGCACTTATTATGATAGAAATCTAGCATGCAGACGACTTCACACCAACTGCTTACCTCCCAAATCAAACTGTCTTCTGAGAAAACTTGTGTTCCAAAACTTAGAAGGCTTCCCCAACCTATCATCGATATTCATGGTACTTCGCACAGCATAGCATGCATTCAGTGCTGCATTGAAGAGGTTCAGTGATGTCTTCCTGAGGGTTTTTTATTTTTTTTTTTGTAAAAATCCAATGGGATGTCAGCTACTGTTTTTAGCTCCACCTTGTCAGCCTGGTCTTACAGCAAGCAAATTATTAGTCATGCATGCATGGGTGGTGTGTGCCTTTCTTAGCCAGGCATGTATGGGTGATATGTGCTTTTTTTAGCCATGCATGCATGGGTTGTATTGCCTTCGATCCCAGCTAGGATCTAGGAACTGAGATTGGAATGTCATTTGACCAGTAAATCATAGAGCAATCGGATCACTCTTTGCAAAAAAAACAAAAAACAAAAAAAAAAAAAACAAAAAAAAAGAGAGAGAGAAGAAATGATTTAATTTAAAAGTAAAGCTAACACAAATGTTTTTTAGATTGCTATATTTTAACCAATATTTATAAACAGTTTAATAGATTTGAGGCATTATTTTAGCTAATATTTGCGAGGTTTTTGTGAGTCTTTACTAAGTAATTTAGGCTTTCACATTATTTTAAAATAGATTCTCCATATTTAAGAACATTCTCTCCATCTAGTGGACAAAGTGTAATATTACATGTATGAACAAATGGGTAACATCCTAGCTATATCTGAGACCAAGCATTTTTAACATTTGATAATAAATGTTTTGATTTTCATAGAGACTATTATTGCAAAAATATTTTAATATATCTGGTAATATTTTTCAAAAGAACTACATATATACTCTATATGCTAAGATTGTCTTAGTTGAATTGAAAAACTAATGTATTTAAAAATATAAATTAATGTTCTTTGGTGATTCTGTTAGCATTGATCCAATTAAACTGAGAAAACATAAATTCAAAATCACACTCTCCTATGTCTTTTCTTGTTCATACAGAATATGTAGCGAGAGCACCTTCCTTCTGTTTCATTTAACCCTGACATCATCCTGCTAAATCACAAGGTGCTCTGTAGAGCATTTTTATCCATGAGTCCTCTGTGATTGTCCCCTTAAAGCAAAATCTACTCCCATCCCTTCATCATCTTCTGGTCCCCTGTGACAGTCTCCTTAAAGGGAGGACTACTCCCATCCCTTCATCATCCTCTGGTCCCCTGTGACAGTCTCCTTAAAGGGAGATATACTCCCATCCCTTCATCATCCTCTGGTCCCCTGTGACAGTCTCCTTAAAGGGAGATCTACTCCCATCCCTTCATCATCCTCTGGTCCCCTGTGACAGTCTCCTTAAAGGGAAGTCTACTACCATCCCTTCATCATCCTCGGGTCCCCCATGACTGCCTCCTTAAAGCAAAATCTACTCCCATCCCTTCATCATCCTCTGGTCTCCTGTGACAATCTCCTTAAAGGGAGGACTACTCCCATCTCTTCATCATCCTCTGGTCTGCTGTGACAATCTCCTTAAAGGGAGGACTACTCCCATCCCTTCATCATCCTCAGGTCCCCCATGACTTCCTCCTTAAAGCAAAATCTACTCCCATCCCTCCCTACTCTTTTGAATATTGTCTTCCAAATGTGTATTGAGTAGCACTAAAAGCCCCCTTTAGATACTGCTCCTCTATGAAGACATCACCGGTATCCCTGTCTGAGTTAAAACTATTGCTTTTATGTTTTTTAACACAGTGTACTCATAATAAGTGTTTAATAAATGCTTATTTAATGAATAACATCCCAGAAGAATTTTCCTAAATTCCCCTGATATCCCTCTTTAATGCTTTAAAAAACAAAAACTAAAAGCAAAAAACCTGCCTTCCCTGAATTTCCTGGGGAATGTCTAAGTGCCTGCAAAGCCATGGCCCTACCCAGGGGAGTTAGAGACCTCTCGTTTGGTCCCCAGCTACTAACACATATTCATGTCTCATGGAATCAGGCACTCTTTCAGGGAGGACTTCAGGAGCATTGGATAGCTCAATGACTTTGATCAATCAGTTTTTCTAGAACCTGTCCTCTTTGTCTATAGAGTGAATGTTTAATTAAATAATCTTCCAGTGTCTTGATGGAACCATCTAAATACATTTATAAGATGACACTATTCTAAGGGAATCAGAAGAGTTGGGGAGATGGCTCAGTTGGTAAATCTTCGCCACACAAGCATGAGAATGTGAGTTCATAGCTCCTGCATGCATGTTAAAAGACAGTTGTGGACAGCATGTGTCTATGATCCCATCTTTGGTCAGACAGCCCCCATCAATCAGTAAACTCCAAGTTATGTGAGAAAAACTATCTCAAAAATAAGACTAATAGCAATTTATGGAAACAGCATCAACCTTTGGCCTGCACACATGCATACATATACAAACATGTACACACACCACACTTACCACCACATACACACAGAAAATGTTAAGTTGGAAAGGAGGTTTCTTGAATGACTAAGCCACATTATTACTTTCTCCCTTTTCTTTTGTGCTTGAAGATTGGTTCAGGTGTTGCCTGGTCATAGGTCCATATGTGATCAATGATTCACCCACCTCCCCAGTTGGCTGACTTGAGATACGTAAAACATAACACTGGATATGAAGAACCTTAAAAAAAATACAAAATGTTTTAAACTCATGGTCCAATAGTTGTGTATGTGTGTTCATATGTGTGTGTGCATGTGTATATGGTGTGCACACAGACGTGTTGAAAATTTACCCGAGGGCATTCATTGTGCATGTAGGCCAACGTTGTACCATTGAGACGCATGCATGTTCAGTCGTGGATAAAGATTCTAGTCTGGGAATGTTGGTAAAAATTTAGTTTGAATTTGTTTGTGCATTCAGTGATCTCTTTTAACCTCACATCCCCATATGGTCACTCTTCTGTTCAAGGACACATGAGAATTGAATTTGATACATATTGATACTTCACTAGAAAAGTTCATTTGGAAAAGTTTATCTGGATTATATCATATTGACAGCTGTTATATGTGGCTACTTTTTGTTCTCTGGCTTTAAAGCCTGTATTGTAAGTGGAGACTACTTGTTAGTTTCCTGGCCGCCCAACCCGAATAATCACACAGAAACTATATTAATTACAACGCTGTTTGGCCAATGACTCAGGCATATTTCTAGCTAGCACTTACATCTTGAATGAACTTATTTCTATCAATCTGTGTATCACCACAAAGTTGAGGCTTACAAGGAAGGTTCTGGCAGGTGGCTGGCAGCTCTCTCCTTCAGCAGCTACATGGTATCTCTCTGATTCTCCCCTACTCTCGACATATATCTCTATTTGGATTTCCCACCTGGCTTCACTCTACTAAGCTATTGGCCGAAAGAGTTTCTTTAATAACTAATGATGATAAAACATATTCTTAGCATACAGAGGGGAATCCCACATCACTGTATTGAACTCAATGCATTTCATTCTTTCTATTCATTTACCCCATTCAGTAAAGAAGGTTTTGTTGTTCTTTGTTGTGGTGATGGGGGTTGAACACAGAGCATAATATGCATCAGCCACATTTGCATTTTAAGAAGATAAAGATACTAGATAAAGGCAGGAAAATGGATTCAAGAGACAACTGTAAGGGCTACTGCATATTCACAGTGAGGGATGCAGAAACGAATGATTTAATAAGTGCAGTGTAAGAAGGAAAAAAAGCCCAGGTTCAGGTGCCTTGTGACATTAGACGGTGGCAGTTGCTCCGCTGAACTCAAATATTTACTGAATTATATGAATTTATTCTTTTCTAAACAGGAATTCTGTGCTCAGAGCTACTTTTACAGAATGACTCCTTTTTATAAAAAAAAAAATGAAGTTAGGTTTAAAAAGACTTACGCCTTGTAAATTGTCAAAATCCAAGGAAAATAAGAAGAATATTAAGCCAATGTGATGTTTACAGTTGTGGGTTTGTTTGTTTTGAAGTGTTTAGGGCTCAAACTTAGGGTATTAGACTATGCAAACATGCTACCACTAAGCTACATCTCTAGTTCAATGTTGTAATTTTTACTATCAAGAATTAGATGTAAAAATCTTCCTATCACTCCCCAAAACAGAAATACAAAGAGAGCCAATGCTCACACCAATGTGATTCTGTTTCTTCTATTCACAGTTTCGATGTGGACAATGGCACATCAGCGGGACGGAGTCCCTTGGATCCCATGACCAGCCCAGGATCTGGGCTAATTCTCCAAGCAAACTTTGTCCACAGTCAACGCCGGGAATCCTTCTTGTATCGATCTGACAGTGATTATGACCTCTCTCCAAAGTCTATGTCCAGGAACTCCTCAATTGCCAGCGATATGTGAGTATAGGGGTGGGCAGGAAAGGGAGAAGAACCTAGGGGAGCCTGAGCAAATACATCTCTGAGTGGATGATGTCCTAAATGGACTCATCCAACCGTGTCATTCTCCTTTGATGCAGAAAGCGCATAAATTTATTGAAGCTGAAAATAAACAGTAGATTTAACTTGAGTACACTGTCACTCTTGATTAAGAGGAAAAACATTTTCTCAGAAAATACATTGCTTGGGGAAAGTAGAATTAAACATTTAATAGAAAATTGGCCTTAAAACATCAATTTGTATTTATGTAAGGCTTGTGTTTTAGATACTCAAACACATGTGTATTTTCTAATATTTAAAAAAGCCTTAAATTTGGGCTGAATACCCTATGATGTTAGTGTCTTAACTATATCTTAACTGACTTGTGTACAGACGTGAAACTGGCAAGATCTTTCAGGGATTTTGTACAAAATTAAACCAGGTTTTGAATATAAATCACTAGAGGCAATATTATACATGAGTTTACTTAAGGGCTGGTATTAAACCATATGTAATAAAATATGAGTACCACCCTTGAGGTTTTACAAAGCACCACACAAGTGCAAAGCATGGGGCTATGGAAAGCTCTCTGCTCAAAGGAAATGGTAATAAAGTAATGGGTTCAAGGAACAGTTTTGCAAAACGTGAAGGCTCTGATACATTGAAGGTTTGACTGTTGGCTGGGTGCAAAGAGTAAACATAGTAAGAGAGAAAGAAGACTCAAAGTCCACGGGAGCTGAGAGCCATCAAAGTTCTTAGCTAGAGTTTGACCTTGGTCATGCTTCATTTTTATTATATTTTGGTTATTATTATTCTATTTGGGAATAATAAGACAGTGATGTGATAACAGGGAAGGAGTTCCCAATTTCATCAAAGCACAATCGGCCACATGCTCAAGATCCAAGTTACTAAGAGTGCAGCCAAGAGATCAGTCCTGATGTAAGAGTGCAGCCAAGAGATTGGTCCTGATGTAAGAGGCACAAGGCCTAAAGAACTGTGGGGTGCATGTGTGTGTGCATGCATGTGTGTGTGTGCATGTGCATTTGTGTGTGCATGCTTGTGGGGAGGTGTGGCTGGTAGAGATAAAGAAACAAAAGGAATGCCACAATTGTGACCCTAAATGAGTAAATAAATGACAGTATTTACATGAGGAACAAGGGACAGAGAGTAGACAGTATAATGCCAGACCCTAAGTAGTAGATTTCAGCTTATATAGAATAGTATAGAAAAAATCTTGACAGTTGTTGGCAACGGAAGAACAAAGATGAGGAACAAAAGTCTACTGAACTAAAAGAAATTTTAAAAAATCAATTACCTTGTATAATTAATAGGTGTTTAGATGTCACCTCAGTGAAGCACCTTGGTCAGGCAATGGAGTCAGAAGCCCAATAGGATGTAGAGTGAATCAAACGTGGTTCTCTGATCCAGTGAATGCATAGTTTTAGAAAACAGATGGGAAAAGGAGTGAGAGAATTCAAGTTAACTAAAGAAGAAATAAACTCAAGAGAAAAAATTAAAATGAATAGCACTTGAGATGACTGAAGGCTGAGAAGCAAGAGACTAAAAATTAGCAGGAAAAAGGATTACAGATAAATGAAGAGTTATTGGATTCAAAAATGATCTTGAGCTCAAGAAACAGTTTCTGGAAAAGTAGGAGAGGCTGGGATTGTAAGAAGAAACAAGTAAAAGAAGAAATACAAATATAGAGATGAAGGGGCAAGAGGTTTAGAAAATTCATGCTAAGGATGGCTACTTTTCCACTAACAGGAGGTTTAACCATTGACACCAATGGGAGTGGAATTGGCAGCTTAAGTACAAGGTGAAAAGACAAAGCCACTACATACCCAGGCCTGGTGGTACACACCTGTGATTTCAGCTACTCAATGCTGAGGCAGGATGGTGATGAAATGTCTCAGCTATTCAAGGCATTCAATTGAAGGAGTGCAGGACCATCCTGGCAGCACAGTGAGATGGTGCCTCAGAGTAAAAGGACAAATAGGGCTGGAGGTGGAACACACGGTGGTAGAGTATCTACCTAGCACAACATATGCAATACTTTAGATTTAAGTGCAGTGAGGGGAAAGGCCACTAAGCAGATTAAGGAAGAGAACAATGCACTAGAGGGATTAATAGAGGACAACTCAATCCAAGAATCCCCGTAAATAACCAATAAAAGCTGCCTAGCCCAACTTCATTGAAAGTGAAGCAACAAAAGAGACAGATGTGGCTGTAGATCCCAAGGATCATGGAACACCAAGGAGGAGGGGTGGAAAGAATGTAAGAGCCAAAGGGTAGAGAGATGTGTGTAAGAAGAGGTCTTCTAGCCATGACATGATGGAGCCTTGTATTCATGGGCTCACAGCACACAGCGGCTGAGGTTATCCGAGTAAGACCTACACAAGATTGGGCCTGCCAGAATTTCCTCATGAATGAGGAAGATACCCTGGAGGCTCCAACCCTTCCTGTGGGACCATAGGCAATTAATTAATAGGCAAGAAACTCTAATTAAACTCAATGGACCACATACAAAAATAAATGGAGGCATGAGGAAGACTTGTTGAGAAGAAAGTAGGAGAGGGAAGGGATAGGAATGAGAACAACTAAAATTTCCTTAATTGAATGAAAGAAATTGTCAAGCAATTAAAGATATTAAAAGGAAAGGTCAGAGAAGGACATGGAGTGAATAACTGGACTCTATTTTAATGGTTAAATGTTCTATTCTCTAAAATTCTAGTAAAACAATCTGGGTATGCTAATGCATAGGGTGTGTGTGTGTGTGTGTGTGTGTGTGTGTGAGAGAGAGAGAGAGAGAGAGAGAGAGAGAGAGAGAGAGATCTCTTATTCAAGTTAGAAAAGACTAAAAATGCATCTCCACTTTCTGAATAAAGTGATAATATTTCACATTCTAAAAAAGCCTTTATTTCCAAAGCCCTATACAAGAATGGCCTCATTTTACCCTGCACCAATTCAAGAGCTCCTTTATCTGCTCAGAGAACTCATATACAAATGACAAATTGAATCAGACCCTGTTACAGCTCTGTATATTATTGAAAATTAATGTCTTGATGTGCTCAGCTTTCTGAGTCCCTCTGTGCATTTTTCTAGGAGAAATGAGGCATTCCTTTCATGCTTGCTGGGAAACAAGATAAATAAAATAATTATGACTTCATATTTCATTTAATATAGCATTTATCTTCCACATATAGATGAGTAGGCTTTGCCTTTATTTGATAGTTTACATGTCCATGTGTGAACTCAGATTCCTTTAACTAGTTTACATTGATGCGGTGAAGATTGTTCAATGTACATAGCTCCACTCCACAGTTCAACCGTGCTTTATAGAGAATGATGTCATTAAAATCTAGTTTGCAGACTTGATGATTCTGTATATATTGTTCTTATCTAGCTTTTCACCAGATAAAATCCCTAGCATCAATGAGTGTTTGCTATTCTTTGTTTGACTGAGATGTTTTAGAAAAACCAAATTCTATGTATGTTTGTGTATAATTGTTTAATTAGGAAATGAGAAGAAAAAAATAATCATTTCCTGACAAGATGACATCCTCTTATAATCTGCAAATAAATATTAATAAGTAGCTGATACACACAAAGGAAAAAACAACAGTGACAGTCATAACACAAATTGTCTGAAGATATTACACTTTACTTTTTTGAGTATTTTGGTACCTGCCATTTCATTTGATCCTTCAGTTCTTTTAATAGGGTTATTAATATGCTATTTGTGGCTAGGAGATCCAAAGTCCAGGAATTTTTCATCTTTTCAAAATACAATAAAAGTTTTAATCATTTGTAAAGAACATTGTTTTGTTGATACCATTGTGGACAGTATTTGTGAGTGGATAGGCAAAACTCATTTGACCAACAAAATTGCTCTGACACACTGTAGAAGTTAGCTCTATTCAGGAAATAGCCAGCCTAACTAAAAGATAAACAACTATATTTTTATTTATTATAAAGGGAAAAACTCACGAAACAGGAACGAGAAGTCCAAGCTCAGATGTGCTGTGAGGGACCACAGAGATAGAGCACCTGGGTGGTGCGGCCATTTTTCTCCAAGTCCCAGAAATCCACACCTTAACTTGGTCCCACCTCTCGAAGATAATTGGCTAACAAAGTTTCCCTATTACTTCCACCTTTTGTTTAAACAAGAGCAATCTAAACCCAGTAGAAATTTATATACAATAGGAACAGATATCAAGTATAAAATTACAACCAACATAAACAATATCAAGCGAGGAACACATGACAATGTTTTAATAATCATTCTATTCCTAAGAGTCTAAGTCTTACATTGGAAATAAGCTTGCCTAAATCATAAGAGGAAGGTAACTATGACTGCCTAATCTTCAACCCCATCGAAGGACTGTGAAGGGAGATAATATTACTTGAGTAGAGCAGTATATGATTGAGACATATTGGCTACCTGAGCAATCACCTAAAGTCTCATTTGTAATGCTGAAGCAACCAACTTTGGCTAAGGCCTAGCATAACTGACAGACCATTTTCAGAGGCAGGGAACTTTTCAGAACCGTCTTACCCTGTCTTGGCAAGGTTTAGCAGTCCTTTTCCTTGTGTTCTGCTTATCCAGTCTGGATACCATGTACTTTGTCAGTGTTTGAGACATGGACAGTTCCTTGCCCAAAAGCCAATCATGCGAAGAAGAAAACAAACTCCGAGTGGAGTGTCTTCAGTGCTCAACATTCTCTTAGGAATAGATTGGTGCTGTCAGGAGCAATCATGTCTCATGTCAACAGAACCCTAAATTATTTAAATGCCATGTTCTACAGTTCCTTAAAGTGGTTGAAGATTACCTATCTAGGCAAAATACAATCTCTTTATATCTAAAGAACCTAATTAATCTGACTATATGTAAAACAAACATGAACAACTATTGACCTATAATATTTAATACCTGTATAACTTAAGGACTAAGACTTATGTCAGAATATTAAATAACCTGT